GTCTCTGTCTCTGGGGATCTGCTGCGATGTTTATCGTTTCTAGATAATTCAAGGTGATGAATGTTTTTCCTACTTAAAGAGGAATAACGCTAACTCTGCAGACTACCAAGAACACCACAAGCCATATCCTACTTAAGTGTTAGGCTTTTCATTTCTTTAATATGCTGTTCAAAAAAATCAGCATATCAAAGAAATATTTAAATAGCCTGTATTCATTCAGAATAGTTTATTGTTCCGATATTGTTGTAAAACAGTTCGTTAGCCAACTGTAGACTTCTAACGGATGTCAGGCGATATAATATAGAATTCAGTATTATTTTACAATGGTTAGTTGGTGTTTTCTCATGTGAATGAAAGTGTTGGAGCTGTGTGATTTCTGCCTGAGGCGAGGAGCAAGTTTTTTAACCGTCAAGTCTCTGATTTCTCGTGAATATTTTGCCCATGAGGAAATGTAAAACCCGGAGTGGAGCAGAAGCTGGGAGGAGAAGTCTCTGTCGATCCGCTCCACTCACACACGCTGATCCAGACCGGCCTACAGTCTGTGTGTTACTTGCAAACATACAAGCAAAAGATGTATGTTTTGCCTTCGCCTGCCTGAGAAGAATCGAGAAGAAACGAGGAATAGGAAATAACAAGTGACCTATTTTTGTATGAAAAGTAAGTTACTCCATGAAATGCTTGTTTAAAAACTGTTTGTGTATAAACAAAGTACTATTTAACTGTGGTTCATCCTAACAGAATTTATACCCTGGGATGTAGGCTATGCATAGCCTTTTTAGGACATTTACAATAGGATATGCATATGTCATTTACATTATTTCGCAAATATGCCATCATGTAAGTTTAAAATTAATATATATATAGAGAGAGAGAGAGAGAGAGAGAGATGTTAATCGTGGTCACCTTTTCAGGACAACATAAAAAGTTTTCAGAATAAAACTGCAATGTAATGACAAGAATTAGTCATTTTTCATTGTCAAGAATTTGTCCCTTAAATATTTTTAGACAATTCTAAAGATACAATCCCTGACACAAGAAGCATTGGAGTGCTTCTGGTGCACTTAATCATAGAATGCAATTAGTACGATGTAGATCTAAATCTATTTATCACAGCTATTTATTCACCTACATATCTTTAATTCATCCGATACCCTGTGATAATCCTCTTTTGTTCAAAGCACATGTATACATCAATTCATAGTTACACCAACATATATATATATATATACTTATTTTGCACATTGCTTGCACAACCAATGCATCCCCTCAGGGCCTTTTGCACGATTTACAGTACTTTTTATCTCAGCCTTTTTTTCCCTAAATATATTTGTTTTTATTTTTTTATTTTCTATATTGAATTTACTCAGAGACCCATATTATTCTGTCCCTGTGTTTTATGTTTAATGCAGCAGTGCTTCCATTTCCCCCAGAGGATCACTGAAGTTATATTACCTTATATTTTCAAAAAGCCCACACTATTGCTATATGTTATATTGCTGTACAGCCACCAGAGAGCGGTGTGCTCCACAAGTGCCAGAGACTTCGAGCCTGAAAAGGCGGTGGCCAGGAAATAATGACTCAACCCTCCACCTTATTGTCTAGATGCAGCATTGTCCAGAAGTAAAATATCACACAGCCAGATTTCATTAATCTTTTCGGAATAATTCCACAAATAACTTAATACAGCAATAATATAGATATGCAAACTCAGTATCCCTTATAGTTTAACAATAGATCTGAAACAAAGCCGTTGTTGCATGCCAGGATTCTTCAAATTCAACAGACAGCTTTCTTCCACTGCTAGCTGAACACACATACTCTGTAAAATCGCATAATTATACTTCAAATAGCAAGACATCTATGTTTATTTCCCATAAATCAAGTCCCACACCCAAAAGCAGATTACCAGGAGACATTTATTGACATTTTCCTTCACCCAAGGACACACATTTATCAGTTTAGAATGAAGCCATGACTCCTGGTGGGGGATGGGGAGAAGGAGAGAGGGACCATACAGTGCAGGCTTCCTCCTCCCTATAGCTCAGCTCAGCACCATGCCCCATTAATTCAGCACCAAGGAGAGCTGCTAGTGCAGGTACAACAAGCCAGCACCGACCTAAGGAATGACACTGATGGCGTGTGTGTGTGTGTGTGTGTGTGTGTGTGTGTATGTCTTTTCCCATTTGTTAAGCTCTCAGCGCGAACAAGGGCGTTTCAGGGAACACTTCTGCCACGTATGCTTTATATGTTTTTGTGCAGTCTATTCCCCTCACAGCAGTCTGTACTCCCATGCTAATGAAGATTAATGAATCTCTCTCCTCTTTTTGGCTTGCAAGTACTAAAACCTGATGCTTGGCATCACAAGCAATAAATATAGATCTAAAAAAAACGGTGTTGTGAAGCTTTAGGGTTTTTTCTACCGCAGCCTTACTGGGGATTTTCATGTCATTTGTCTGGGTTTGAAGGATGAGCAGCCTGTACCGATGGGAGTGGACTGGCTCAGAGATGTAATGGACCATCATTCGAGCAATTACATTAAGAGAATTACCGCATTGCGACTGTCATGCGAACCCAGTACATACATCCGTGGCGTGTGCGAGCGATACACATGCATACTTGAACTCTGTGGCACTCTGTTGGCAGTGCTGGGATGCAATGCAACATGTGCCATCCAGATGGAGAATTAAAAATAGTTTTGCATTTTGACTTGATTGCGTGCACTGTAGGCAGGCGGCGTTTCCATCATGTCTTTCTTTTCTTCCCTTTCCTTCTGCCTCTCCATGTCGAAGGCTTTCAGTTCCTCGACCAGCACTATTGTTTGGCTGCCCCTCCCCGCACGGGCAGGAGAGCACCCCCCATCCCTGCTGCATTACCAAAGAACAAAAAGAGAGAGTGTCAGACGCCACCCTCTAGATCTCTTTCACGCCCCAGCCCCCACCCCGCTTCCAGATGGGGCTGCCATTTTTTTCAGGGTCTCTCTGAACCCCAAGAGTCCTCCAAAATGGACGCACCCCTCCCCCTCTCCCCACTCTTCAGCTGCCCGTCATCCACCTGCTCTCTCTGCCACGCGCCCGTGCCCAGAGCACGCCCCCTTCCCCGTCCCACCCTCGCAGCCAGCTCCATTCAAATCGTTAACCACTTGCTTGCTATAGGACATTTCTTTTTGCAGCTGTAAACCTTCTTTTTCTGATATGTAGTCCTCCGAGGCCTGCAGAGAGGGGGGAAACAATCATGTTTGCATGTGAAACGGTGTGTGATGAAGCATTGTTACTCAACTCAGCAGAATCTACATTTGATTTTAAGTGGCAACCTAAGACAATACTAAAACATAGCATGGAAATAACAAAAATCTTGTCATGAAATGCACTGTTACCATGAATATTGGCCCAACAATATGCAAAATATAAAAGAGAAATATTCCCATGCAGTTTTAAAAAATGCAACCTTCATCTACTGAACAGTTTTTGCCCGTGCAATGAAAATCAATGGGGTCCAGGTTATCATGGCCAAAATAACTTCATTATGTTGTTATTATTGCAATATCTCTAGATTTTTTTTCAAAATAAATAAATATTGTTTTCAATCACATTTAGCTTTAATTCAAAAAAAAAATTCCCCTTTTTTGGCCAATGAATCACACTCAAAATATGAGAGTAGGGAGGTGGAGAGAGAGTTTGTAACTATAACTGTTCAAAAGCGTACAAAAAATACCTTATTCTTGATCTGTACTTCCTGCAGGCAGGCTGTCTAGCATCCCATCTTTTTCACGAAATCCAAAAACTTGGACACTGGCGAGTGAACTGTTCTTGAGTGCAGGTATAGTGTCTCTTTCGCCAATCATGTCCTCCAACTTGATTCTGTGGGACACACTGTGTCATTGTCTTTTTTCCCGTCTTTTTCACAACCAGATAGTTACTGATGCAGGATCATTTACAATATTATCTTATGTGTAGCATCAACATTACATTTTTAAAAATATTATTCTCAATATGGTATAATTATTGCGTATACCTGCACCCTTGTGAAAAACACTTTAACATATGTTAAAGTACTTATTACACAAACAATGTACTTTTGAATTTTAGAGTGCTTTTTTGATCCACTTACTACTTGAAGCAGAACTTGAGTGCATAATAATTTGTAATAATTTCATAAAATGCCGGCTTCTGCGTCAACAGCATCACATGCATGCATCGTGGTACTCTCGTGAACGCGCATCCAAGACTGACATGGAAGAGAAGAAACTTGAATAATGTCGTTATTTTTGTTTTCTTTGTGCACGAAAAGTATTCTTGTAGCTTCATAAAATAATGATTGAGCCACTGATGTCCCATTGTCACGGTTCTGCTGGTGTGCCCTAGTTGGCCACCAGATGTCACTGTATTTTGAGCACATGGCTTGTTTGTTGTTGGTGCCATGTGCTCTCCTGTCTATTGTCTGATCCCGCCCTTCTTGTTATCTCATTAGTGTTTTAGTTACTCCACCTATGTCTCCCTCGTTACGGTCCTCGTTTGTCTCCCTATTTATTCTCCTTGTGTCTGCAGTCCTGTGCTGGTTCGTTGTTTAATGTTATGTCTCAGAGTATTGTTGGGTGTGAGTATGTTCCTCTTGCCTTGCCCTGTCTTGGCCTGCCTGCCTGTTCTTCCCCCTCGGGGTAGTTTTTGATGTAGTTTTATTTTTTTTTTTACTATTAATAAATGCCCTTATCATCCTGCATTTGAGTCCTTGCCACATCACTCTCCAGTACCATGACAGAACGAACCAGCCAACTGAGGACTCAGCGGAAGATGGGTTCACTCCATCTACCAGCCTCCACTATCTGCAGCCCCCTCTACCAATGCATGCTTAAGGTAGCAGCATTGAGTTCCCTCCGTCAACGGGGGACTGACGTGAGGGAAGTCGCGATGTTCAAGAGTGCTGTGGAGGGGCTGGACTACAACGAGGCAGCTCTCAGGGACCTTCTGAATTATGCCCTTGATGAGCCCCTCAATTGGTAGAGGATGAAAGGGCTGGATCACCTGACGTTTGTGGGGTTCGTAAACTACCTAGCTCGTCAGGGGAACCCTTCAGCCGAGGAGGCTGCAGCTCCCCCAGTGGCGGCCGATGAGGCTGCAGCTCCCCCAGTGGCGGCCGATGAGGCTGCAGCTCCCGCAGCGGCGGCCGATGAGGCTGCAGCTCCCCCAGCGGTGCCTGATGAGGCTGCAGCGCCCGCAGTGGTAGCTGACGAAGCTGCAGTGCCCCCAGAGGCGGCCAACGAAGCTGCAGCGCCCCCGGTGGTGGCCGAAGAGGCTGCAGTGCCCCTGGAGGCAGCCAACGAAGCTGCAGTGTTACACTCTTGGAAACGGAGGAGGAGGAGGAAGAAGGCTTCTTCCGTCCTTCAAGGCCTGGAGGCCGTCCCAGAGCCGCCCAAGCTTCTTGTCCTCCCGGCTCTACCCTTGATGCCTGCTCCGCCCATGTGTCTTGCCTTGCCAGCTCCGCCCAAGCTCCTTGCCCTGCCGGCGCCACCCAAGTTCCTTGCCCTGCCAGAGTCTGCTCCAGTCCGGGAGCCCTCAGAGTCCGCTCCAGAGCCCGCTCCAGTCTGGGACCCCTTAGAGTCCGCTCTAGTCTGGGATCTCTCTGGGTCCACTCCAGCTCCACCTGATCCACCATGGTGGCCCTCTCTCCCGTCTGCTTTGCTGTGGTGGTCATCTGCTCTGCCATGGGGATCTTCAGTAATGCCTGCTCTGCTGTGGTGGTCTTCAGCTCCACCCTGGAGGGCTTCAGCTCCACAGGTTCCGCCACACGGGCCTGGCCCACAATCCCTCCCCTGGATCCGCCTCTGGTCCACCTCCCTCCTGGACCTTTTTGTTTTCTGTTTTATTTGTGGAGCGTCTGGAATCCACTCCTTAAAGGGTTCTGTCACGGTTCTGCTGGTGTGCCCTATTAAAACACCAGATGTCACTGTGTGTTTTGAGCACATGGCTTGTTTGTTGTTGGTGCCATGTGCTCTCCTGTCTATTGTCTGACCCTGCCCTTCTTGTTATCTCAATAGTGTTTTAGGTACTCCACCTGTGTCTCCCTCATTACCCTCCTCGTTTGTCTCCCTATTTATTCTCCTTGTGTCTGCAGTCCTGTGCTGGTTCGTTGTTTAATGTTATGTCTCCGAGTATTGTCGGATGTATGTTCCTCTTGCCTTGCCCTGTCTTGGCCTGCCTGCCTGCCTGTTCTTCCCCCTTGGGGTAGTTTTTGTTGTAGTTTTTTTTTTTTTTTACTATTAATAAATGCCCTTATCTTCCTGCATTTGAGTCCTCGCCTCATCACTCTCCAGTACCATGACACACACACTATTTTAACTATGTCCTTACTACCTTTCTGGGCCTTGAAAATGGTAGTTGCGTTGTTGTCTATGCAGGGTCAGAAAGCTCTCGTATTTCATCAAAAATATCTTAATTTGTGTTTCGAAGATGAACAAAGGTCTTACAGGGTTTGAACAAAATGAGGGTGAGTAATTAATGACAGAATTTAAATTTTTGGGTGAATTACCCCTTTAAACTTGTCATTATTACAAAGTGCACTTTTTAATAAGTGGTAAGAAAAGTAGTCAAAAAGTGTACTATAAGTACGCTTAAATGGCCTTTTATTACATTCATATTATCAGCAAGTACAGTTTTTAAGAAATGTAAGATTTGAAATTAATACATGTGAAGAGTTCAAATGCAAAAGCTCTAAGTGCCGTCTGAAATTGTCTTCTAAATTGAGCATTTTTTATCAATTGCATAGAAAAGCACCTATACATTGCCATTAGAGTAAAATTACTGAACCTACACATAGGAGCCTGATAAAAATGCTCATTTGAGAAGAAAATTTCAGACGGCACTTAGAGACTTTTGCATCTGAACTCTTCACATGTACATTTAATACAATGATAAGACAAGACATTTTTCAAAATATCTAGTGGTTTGGAGTGACATGAGGGCAAGTAAATGATGACAGAATGTTAATTTTTGAGTGAACTATCCCTTTAACATGACATAGGCGGAATAAAAAAAATGACAGTATTGTAAATTCATAAACAACAGCAGAAGTGTGATTTACCAGCCTAACACATGGAACAAACACTAGGCAAAATATTGCATTAGTATATTGTCAAGAGGCAGATGATTTGAAGCCGAAATATCATAGTTTTTAGTTTTATTGGGCACACAGCCTTTGATGTCAACAACAAAAGGCAAGCATTTTCTCCTGAAAAGTTAATAAGCCTAACCATGCACGATTATATGTTTAGTTGCATTGTATCATTTGCATTAGCATAGTTTCTCCTTGCTGTCCGTGACCGTATTAGACCTGGGACCCCCTTTTGCATTGCCATCCACTACTGCAATGAAGGACAGGACAAAATGAAAACTTACATAATGCTTGTAGACACAGTGAGATCAAAACATCACGGGAAATGTTTGACATAATCAGTACACTTATTTTTAAAGCGAATGATTTCAGAATGAGTCATTAAGTCTGCAGTAAGATCACGGTTTGCTTCTTAAAGTCTGCAGCGGTAAGCGGTGATGCCGAGGAGGGGGCAGATGCTCAGTTGATTGTGTTTCTCCAAAAGCTCTAACACGTTGCATCCTCTGAGCCGTATTTGCTCTAGCCCCCCACACCCCCACCCCACAGCACCCTCCTGAGCCCTCAAGGGAATGGTGGAGAGGAGCAGCACTGGCCTGCATCTGTCACGGGGCAGCTGTTGGTCACTTAATGGAATTTGTCCTATCGCTGATGGGCCAGGGGAAGTGGGAGGTTGGGCTAATGACTCCTGATTCTGCTAAAATTTTGCCAATTACTCAGAGATAGTGAAATCTATACTGCCATTTTAGCTTCTACTGTCACATTCTCCTTAAAAGCTGATTAGTGATAAACTGTGATTGATAATGTTTACGGTATATGCACTGTAGTCACACATTCCTGCATTTAACTTATGAACTATTTTTCTGCTGAATTCATTGGATTTTGTAGCTTCACAGGAGTAAAGAAATATGTAATAAGTGGATAAATGGCAGAGCTTGAGTTTTCAATGTAGGTGCAAGCCCCAGAAATTGGATAAAACCTATTTCCAATAGCTTCAAAGACAAAAGTCAATGGGAATGTATTTATTTAATATAGATGGGCACATTTATTTATTTAGCTACAACTAATTTATTTACCAAATAATATTATTGTATATTTCAGTATACCCTTTGATAGGTATTAAATATATTGAGCAATTGGTTAGTGAATTTGCAGTTTACTGTTAGTTTAGAGTAAACAGTAAATCATTTTTGTATTATATATATATATGCACGTATTTGATTGAATATTTATTTCATTTGTTGATTGCAGTTTTTTTTTTAAACATTTATTTTTGTAATATCTGGAACCAGACATATTAATTTATTTATATACATTTCATTTTCTAACAGTTTTGAGATTTATATATATATATATATATATATATATAGAGAGAGAGAGAGAGAGAGAGAGAGAGAGAGAGAGAGAGAGAGAGAGAGAGAGAGAGAGAGAGAGAGAGAGAGAGAGAGAGAGAGAGAGAGAGAATATATATATATATATATATATATATATAGAGAGAGAGAGAGAGAAAGAGAGAGAGAGAGAGAATATATATAGATATATAGATTTAGATATATTTAGGATTTGTATTTTTTCAAACCTGTTACGAAAATTAAATAATTTAAATAATTTAATGAATAAAAGGGGAAATAAATCTGCAGGATTGGTATCAGGTTTGTAAATATAGCTAAATTGGGGCCAAATGTGGATTTGTAGTTATTCATAAACTTTAAATTTCCAATAAGTAAAAGAAAATTGACAATGTTGTTTGATTTTACAATCAGACTCTGAAACCTGTAAATAAATAAATAACAAAGAAAATCCATGTACACGTGGCAGGCTAATGCAAGTATTAAAGTAATGGCTTCCTTTGCAATTAAGCCATCATAAGTGCCTTCTCTTGCCTTCATTCCAGAACATTGTGTTTTGGAAAGCTTTTGTGTGTAACTCTTTGACTGTAAGACAATAAGCATTAAGCCACTAAGCATTACTCTGATTTGCATGACTCTGATCCCCCCCCACTCCCCCCCAGACCTGCAGGAAACACCAACCCCCACAGCCCTGCTCGCCGTCCACGAGAGTTCAAGCAGCCAAATCAATGAGAAGAAAGAGAAGTGGGCCCTGTTCCTCCCTCTGCATCTGTCAAGGAGCAGAAGAGGGAGGGGTTCACTCGTGGGATGGGGAAGGGAACAATATCAGTCCATCTGTCACAAACAGCCTCATCTCTGCTAAGATGAAATGTAGCTCCAAAGTAAATCAAACAACGTGTTACTCCAGCACATTTTCTCATTATTGATGGATTGAGCCATAAAACCGATCAAAGCCAACGTCATTCAATTTTCCAAGCGCACTGCGCTGACCGATCCGCTTAAATGACTGTCAACCAGGGTCACGCAAAATAGCCTCACAAGGCCATGGATGTATCATATATATATATATATATATATATGTGTGATTTAAGAAGGACACTCGATGCGACTTTTACCTGATAAAACCTCGGCAGCATGTAACACTCCCCAGCCTTACGGTTTGTCTCATAAGTGGGATATTTACAGTCTCCCCTCCCCCTCCGAGGCCTCACCCTGCGCTCTCAGTGGCAGGTAGAGCCGCAATCTCAGTCATTCATATTTAATTCTAGCAGAGTTTCCGGCCAGACTAATGCGCTATTGATTGCAAGTCTCCCATTACAGTAGGGCGAGAGCGAAGCGGGAAGGGAAAGAGAAGGGAAAAGAATACCAAAGACCGAACGCGGGTATAGGCAGGAAGGAGAAAGACGAGGTGGTTCGGGAAAGATGATAAATCAGACAAGAGCGGGGGTAGCTAGCGATCTGACATTTAAGAAATATGACCGTACTTTTAATAAATATAGAAAATGGATGGCGTGTGTGCAGCGTTGTGGAGTTTTCTGCTCTCAAATCCTCAAACACAATTATTTTTAGGCCCGAAACAGTTGAGGAACCCGAATTCCATTAAGGCCGGAGTCAGTCAGCGGTGCATGTGTTGAATGCAAAATCATCCGAATGCATTTAAGTGTAATTAAAGGTAAGTACGCTGACATGTTAGAGAGGAGCTTGGCTTTGCTTTCTTTAGCACAAGCTGGATCTAGATGTGCTCATTTATGTGTTATGAGAGAGAGCCGGAATGCTTGAGCAAGTGGAAGAGATGGAAAAGCGAAAGAGAGAAAGAAAGAGGGCATTCTGGTGCTTTGTGTATTTAAGGTTTTCTCCCTGGATACCAACGCAGACGAGGCAAGATGAAAGATTAATAACTGAATCTCTATATTTAACAAGATCGGGTGTAAAACATGCTCCCTAGCAGACATGAGGCCTTCACTCCCACCTACAGCCTCCGTCGTATGAGCAAACGTATAGGTGAGGAACTGGGAAATATCTGCCATGTTTATGCGCATTTGTTGCGCCTCATGCGCTAACGTGTTCGTGCCAACACCTGCATGCACCGCATGGCAAGCTGAAGAGAATCAATAAGTAAAAAGATGACAAGAAATGTCTAAGTCTTCCTCCCACCAGCCTGTCTGCTATAATAATAGCCCGGAGAAAACAGAAAGGCAGACGAGGAAAAACAAAGTGAGGGGGAGAAAATGCCAAATAATGCATGCGAGGCCGAATTAGGCCAATATCAATTACCCGAAAATGGCCCAGAACTATATGCGGAGAGGCTAGGAACTTCCATACCAACTCAACTGCGACCCCTGCCCTCTTGCTCCCACAAGCCCATGCCACCCGGAGGGGCCGGTAGTGTTACCCTAGGGCTCGGAGCCCACTAAACGGTGGGATCACAGGCCCAGAGCG